GGTGCAACATGAAGCTGGAAAGCCGCTCTCTGTGAAGCGTGCAGCGCGCTCTGAAGAGTTATGCCCAGCCACAGTCGCAGGCTTGTTGAAGATTAATCTAGTTAGTGACCCAAAGGAAAACACAGAAACAATATGATCAGCTCAGCAGTTCTAAAATAATTTTGGTCTCTATTATGTCATCCGCTTTAAATACCAACCGTTTGTTGCTGGTTCTGTTGCCTATCAGCACTATTATTAAGAACTGCTATTTGCCATTTGTTCTTTCCTGTCCTCTTAGCAATAACTTCCTCTCTTTGCATTTCTTTTACCTAAGAGCTGGACATCTGTCTTCCTCCTCATTACGACAAACACGCTCAGAGCTCTTCTGTCAGTTCTCTGTGCTCAGCTGAAAGCCGTGGTGTGTTAGCTGGGTTTTTCCTTTTCTCCCGTCAGCATCACAAAGCTGCTACAGTCCTGGGCAGGCCAGATGTGCGGGTGGGCTGGGAATACAGACAGCTGTGGCTCCAGGGCATTGACGGGAACTGAATTCTGAGGACTCGGTGAATGTAGATGCTAATAGGAAAACATTAGTTCCCAAGGTGGGTTAAAAAAGTTACTTATTTACCTGTGAAGTGGGAAGTGACAAGTGAAATCTCCTTTATTTGTACATCTCAGGTATTTGGTTTTGAACTTGATAAAATGCCAGTAACTGCAAGAGGATGTTCCTTGGGGCAAGTTGTCCTGCTGTGTTAATCAGTCGTGGAAGATCATCGATTTATAAACTGTGTAAACCAATTGTGGTTGTAGTTCTGGGAATAAGTATTTTGAGGAAATCATTAAAAAGGCATGGCTTACAAAGTGATCGATGCCTTTGCCACTCAAAATGGAAGATTTTCAATGTAAAAAACCATATTTGAACTCTGCCAGTTTTGCAAGATGCTCACTGTTGGTTTGTGGTTCTTTTCCCCTCACGTTGAATATTCCTTGGTGATCACTTGAAAGTGCTTAAAAAGCTTTTGAATTTTGCACTTCAGTCTTCAGTGTTCAGGGTGACTGTAGTTTAAGCAAGCTTTGCTTTGGAGAAGCATTTAGCCAGAGCTGCCTTGTTCATGCCGCCTTCACAGGAGGAGTGATCTGGAGGTAATAGCTTACTGCTGGAGAAAGAAAGGTTTAACATCACACACTGAATCCCAGCCACTGAAGTGGAACATGCACATCACAACTGTGCTCAGCCTTGTGCATACTTGTCTGGCTATAAAAGGCATCTGTGTTGGCTTGTTCAGAATTAGACTAAAACTTTTTCATGCCAATTTTTAGGGACTGCAAAAGTTTCAAGAATAATAATGAGATGCAATTTGAGGCATCTGATTTTTAACTGTTTTACAGAGATAAATTTGAACATCTGCAAGTTGTCATAGTTGTAATTTGGCTTTTCTTGGAAGCAGAGGTGCCAAACAACCACTTGTATTGAAGCACAAAGTATCTCAAATTAGACAGCCAGAGTCCCTTGAAATGCTGACATATTTGTGCACCTTGAGCAGAGACCAGCAGGTACCAGAAGGGAGGATGCTGATGAGCAAGATCTGTGCTAGACCCCAAGTTTTGTAGCGAATGCCATTTCCCCTGCACTCTGCTCTGCAGCACGACCGAGTGCGGGGCTGATTCAACAACAGCTCTGGGATTTACAGCTCACAAACATGCGCAAGACAGAACATCTCCTGATGCCCCGTGGTGGCCAGCTTACATAATGTCACTTGCATAACCCCAGCAAGTACGGTCAGGATCTCTCTCCATGCCAAATTAAGGCTTTCTGGGGTTGTGTGTCACATTCACGCTCTGTTTGAAATTGCACTTTAGTTCATCACAAATTCCAGTTCCTTCTACATGAAGTGTGTGACCACAGAGCCCACGAGGCTACAAGGGTTGTCCCTTCAGCCTCGAGTTCCCGTCACCTTGCAGTCAGAGCATCTCTTTGACTTCCAGAATAATCTGCTGGATTATTTGCAGAAATTTTTTTTCCTCTAGCAGCCCAGATAGTTTACTCTTGAACCTTTGCCAGGGTGGTGGTCTCTCTTCAGTGGGAGAGTGTTCCTTTTCTGGAGAGTCTTAGAGAAGGCAGTCTGAACTTGGGAGAACTGAGATCTTCTTGGCAAAGAGGAGAGAGTGGCTGTTAGACACCGGGGAAGAAACTTCCTTTTTTTCTCCAGAGTTTTCTCTCTGTGAGAGAAGTCTTAATTACCACAGGGTAATTACTGGTGGATGAAATGCAAGCCCTTGCAGACTGTTTGGTCACCAGTCAGTGACCAAAAGTCAGACTTCACTTTGGCTGGGTTTCACTCACTTTTCAGTTCTGTAGAAGACTGAACAGATACCATGAAGAGCAAAGTGGGGGTGGGGGGGTCTGCTGGGTTTTTTAACTTGCACAACCTGAAGTTTGAAGTTTCACCAGTCAGTGACCAAAAGTCAGTTCCACTTTGGGCTGGGTTTCACTCACTTTTCAGTTCTGTAGAAGACTGAACAGATACCATGAAGAGCAAAAGATAAAGTGGGGGTGGGGGGGTCTGCTGGGTTTTTTTAACTTGCACAACCTGAAGTTTTAGCAGTATTTGCAAGCAGAGTTAAAAGCCTCAGGATCTTTAAAACTCTCTTGCTGATGGTGGGATTCATGTTGCCAGAGGGACGCCGAGGCCGGAGGGCAGACTTCGTCCTACCCCAAAGCAAGTTGCTGAAACAGGACAGACGAGTCATGTCGCAAAAGTGCCCGTTTCTCCCCCTCTGCTGCGACGGGGACGGCTCAGCCTGGCCCTCGGTACAGGCAGTGCTGGGCATCAGGGGAGAAGTGTCCAAACCTCGTAGCCACTTATGGGAAAGTGTTTCCACAGATGAAAACACCTCCACTCCTTCTCCTGGCTCAGGGTCCCCAGGCTGGTGCTGGCACCAGGTTTGGCAGAACCAGCTCCTTTGTTCAGAAAGAAAAGTGCTGGCTTCTGAGCTTTTGGGGCTCACGTCTTTTCTTGTCGGGGGGAGACTGGATCTGCCTGTGAGAAACGACCACGCTGACGATAAATGCTGCCTATGAAATTTTAATGCTTAATAGGGCCTTGCTGGATGAGGCATGCATTGTAATGATACCACCCATCATGGGGGAGTTAATTGAATCAATGAGGTGAATAGCGGAGCCATCCAGCATATGCCGAGGGTTTGATCAGCCCAGTCATTACCGCCGGACCCTCATCACTCACCATGGCGTGATTACAGTGCTGCGCCGGCCAGGGGATTTGGTGGGAAGTGGCCAATGAGGGGCCAAGCTGGCTCCAAATCCAGCTTTCTGCAAAGCCCCAGATAAAACAGGCTTCCATTAATAAGGCGAGAAAGGTTAGGACGAGAAGCATTACAGCAAATCTGGAGAGGTAAGGTGATAGTTTTGTCTGAGGCTTGTAGAGCATATGGCCCCTGCTTTTGTATGGGAAACCCAAGAGCTCGGTTAGTCTGTAAGTGGGGCATTATTTGCGTGTCTGCAGAAGTAGAGGTTTATTTGCTGATGTTAAAAAATTAGATAGCTGGAGACACTTGATAGTGTAATCCAGAAGCTAAACACAGAGATTTTCCCTATCTTCATAGCTTGTGTGCTCATTCTGGGTGATAAGTAAGTTTCTTGGGAGTGAAGCTCTGAAAAATCATCCTAATCTGCTGGCTAGTTTTAGGTTCTGGGTTTTGAAATGGAGATTTGTGGTCAGAAACTATTGAGGGGCTTTCCACTTACGGAGCGAGACTGTTGCAGAGGATCCAATTTTTTGATGACTGCTCTTTCTCACTGGTCAAATCCAGGTACAGAAATGGAAATAGAGCAAGTAATTGAACTAATTCAGTTAAAATGGAGAGGTAAAACAGTAAAGCTGGGTAATGTAAAGCTGAACATAAGATGCATCTGTCCTTTTTCACCCAAAGGTTGAAATCTCTTGCTGTACAAAAATTGTGACGAGCCTTTTAAACTGTTTGTGACACCGTAGGCTGAAGCTTTTCCTAGACAGTGGTAATCTCTTCTGCAAACCACCTTACATCAATGTGACATGTCTTCACCTCCAGCCCTGCCGTCCCCTGCTGTTCTTCCCCTCTCCTTCCCATTCCCCACTCCCTCTCCCTGCTAAAAAAAAAAGTGGCAGCTGTTGGAAAGTATAGCCCATTTGTTTTATGATGCCGCTTTGGGAATATGATCCAGATCCTACATGAGAGAGAGAAAGCAACAGAGCGAAAGAGAAGAGGGGGCGTTTAGAAGCTCTGGAAAATAACTTATTTTAAGTCTAGTATAGAAAATTAAATCTTTATAGCAAGGTTCGGGGGTAAAACAGAACTGCTACTAACGGTCTTAGCTTCGGAATCAAAGAGATTGCTCGTTTAATGTAAGTAATTTTAGAGTTTGTTGGTTGTTTTGTACAAAATTTCAAGTGCATTGAAATGTCTTTGATTGTCCTCTAGTGAGAGGTGCCTGTAATGAAGATCTGAAGACATATTATATAGTAACAGTGTGATTCTTATTGGGGTTTATTTTTAATTCACTTTAGCATTTTAGGTAAAGAAACAAGGTTCTCCGTAGAAGGCACTTCTGTCCGTTATTCCAATTCCTGATTTTAGTTACAGGGCACAAAAGACAAAAGCAGAAGAATATGCTAAAACTGGCGGCAGCCAAAACCATTCATAGATCTACGCCTTGGGTTTCCTGCCAAGCAATTAGTGGAAACTCAAATTATTTATTGTTGTTGTCAGGTCAAAAAAATCCACTCCTTCTGTCAGCTTCTCTTATTCCTAGAGGGAAACTCCTAGAAAAACTTAAGAAAAATCCTGCTGTTCCATGAAATGGATGTAGTACAGGTAGGATGCATCTGAAATGTATTCAGTAGGAAGAGGTGATGTTTCAGAAAGCTGCTCAGCCCAGCTCTCCTGCCCTTTGGTCAAAATTTTCTTGCTCTCCTGGCTTCTGGAGACACTGACTCGATGTCTGCTTCTTCCCTCCGCAGCTATCCATGAAGGAGGTCGGAGACGGGCTGCACGAGCAGATGAACTGCATGATGGGTGCACTGCAGGAGCTGAAACTCCTCCAGGTCCAGACAGCTTTGGAGCAGTTGGACATCTCAGGGAGCCGAAGCACCGTTTCTGGCATTGAGCAGCACCAGCGCTGCCAAAGCAGCAGAGATGTGCCCGGGGCCCGGCAGGATGAGCGACTGCGGAGGGAGGCATCAGTGGAGGAGCGCAGCCCCACATCCCTCGCGTGTGCCATGCCACGGCCGGTGGGTTTGCCCCATCCCGCTGCGTTCCCGAAGGGCAGCCATCTTAGAGACACCCCCTCCTCCTTCAGAAGCCTCTGTGGTGAGGATGTTTATCACCCAAAAGGACCTTCCTCCGCTTCCATCAGAGCGGAGCGTGTCCGCCCAAGGACATTCGAACCCAGTAGCCAAGGCACGGCTGGGGGGTGGCCAGCATGCCGGGAGTGCCCGGGGTGTGACGATGGCCATGACTGGACATCCTCCCTAATGTCCCAGAGCAGAAATCGGCAGCCGCTGGTCTTGGGGGATAACATCTTTGCAGACTTAGTTGGGAACTGGTTGGATCTTCCAGAGCTGGATAAGAAGGGGGAGAAGAGCGAGGAGTCCCTGTCCGTGAGCAGATCCCAGGAGCTCTGCAGGAAGTTCTCCCTCACAGCCAACATCTTCAAGAAGTTCCTGAGGAGCGTTCGGCCAGACCGAGACAGGCTTCTCAAGGAGAAACCTTGCTGGCTTCCACCTGAAGACAAACAGCCTGAAATTTCTAAGAGACCCAAAAAGATGAACAAACTCAAGGGGACATTTTACTTCCCACTTCATGGGAACATCCAGAGCCATCACAGCAAAGTGGAGAGGTGCCCAAAGGCAGAAAGCAATAGCGAGAAACCCAAAATTGGCACCAAGAAAATCCACGATACCATAGACTACACCCAGTCCGGGTTCGACATCAATACAGCTGTTTGGGTCTGAGTTTGTTCGTGTCCTCTGCTCTGCCAGGCATTTGTTTCACACCAGAGAGGAGCTGGAGGCTGTACACTTCTTTTCAGGAGACCCCTGAGCTCAGCATGGACTGAGATGAGAGGAGTCCTCTGCAAAATGTGCTGTGGGCTTTGGTCACCTACAAGCAGCATTTTCTAGAGAACTGCAGCTTCAGGGGCAGTCCGAGCAGCAGCTGACGCAGCCCCATGTGAGGAGGGTTTTGGGGACCGGTATTTGCAAAAGTAATCAGAATCTTTAGCAGCTTTAGGGCGAGTGATGCCACGGACGACCAGCTCCTGGAGCCTGGCTTATGATAGCTATTTCAGGCCCATTCCGTCATCTCTAGTTAAAATAGCCGCCGCACAAAATTCACTGTGTGCATGTGTGTGTATGAGTGTGCAAATACATATATAGTTTTTTTAAAAAAAAAAAATCTATTCCTGCTTGCGTGCACTTAAAACTGGGTTATAAACCAGGCAATTCAAGCATTGTACCTGAAGCACTTGTTATTTACATTGAAAGAAATAAGTTCGAATTTGTAAGACTCGAACAATTGCTAAGGGGGGGGTGTTGAACCCCAGCTTTGTTGCATTTCAGCTGCAGGGTTTCCCCCCTAAGCTGCATCTCCACCGTCCTCCCAGCATCTCTCCTTCCCCTGCCAGTTAAACCAGCAGGACCCAAGGCTGCTTTCAGGGAAGTTTGTGACCCTCAAGCGCTCGGCAGGTTTTGCTTCTCTCCCCGTGCCCTTCTCCCCGCAGGTCGCACCAGATACAATGTTGCAAAAGTTTATTGTTGAGGTTGCACTGAGATACAAAGTTGCAACAGATGTTTGTTGTTGTTGTTTCCTATTGCTATTGTGTACAAACCTTGTCTTGACAGAACCCAGTTCTTCAGTGTCCAGCTCTCCAAGAGCTACCAATAAAGTGGCATCAGTCTCCGGTGTGCCGTGGGGCCGTCTCCGTCACGGGGCGACCCTCAGTCCCACTTTTCTCCAGCACAGAAGCTTCTGCCTTTTCGCCATCATGAAAATCCAGCCGGGCAGGCATGAAAGGCTCGGCTGGCAGGGGTCGGAGCCGGGAGCGTGTGCGGGTTGTGTCAGCCTGTTCCCAGCCGAGACCGGGGAGTTTGGGGAGCAGCCAGGAGAGTTTCCATTCAATGAGAGGTTATAAATCATAGCAGGGAGAAGAGCTGCAGCCAGAGGTCCCTGCCAGGGTCCCAGCACTGCTCTGGAGGCATGTCCCACTGCAGCCCATGCACATCCCCGAGAGCCTTCGGGTAACGCTTCAACATCCATCTTCCTCCCCCAGCCTGGGGAAGGGCAGAGGGAGAAGTGTTTGAGGGAGAAACTGCTGCAGAGGAAAGGGCCTTAGAGCTGTGCAGTCCACAGCTCATGGAGGGGGACAGGGCCACGCCACCCCAGGGCCATGTGGGTCCCACTACAGGTCCCCTCCTCGCTGTCTCCAGGAGTTAAACGTGATCAAGGCAAGTCCCCAGTGGCTCCGTGAGCCCCAGCAGGAAGGCAGCGCAGAGCCTTATCGACTGCGTTGCAGCAGAGGGGGAGCCGCCCTGCAGGGCTGCCCCCCGTTTCCATTAGCTGGGAGTCACCAGATGCTTCGTGTGCACAGCAGTGTTATGTTGCAAAAACCTGTTCCGCTCACTCCAAGTTTAGGAAGGGCTTGTGTGCCAGCAGCAGTAGTATTTTTTTTTCAAACATGCAATTCTATTCCTGTTGTAACTTCCCAAGACAGAGAGGCCAGTGGAGCAGAGGCATGGAGGGAGAAATTTTTTTTTTCCCCCTTGTAAATTAAATATAGGCACAAGACAAGCCCTGTTTCTGCCCATACAAGGAGAGGAGTGGGTCAGCATCTGAAAGCTACACTCAGCACTTTTTCAGGAACCTGAGTTACAAGCAAGCTTTTGTTTTTCCTCCTCACAGGCTTAAGGTCTGGTTGTTTTTCCCCTTCTTCATTTCTCTGAATGCCAAAAGGCTGTTTCTAAAGCATTTTGTTTTCCTCCTCTTATTAGTAGTTCATCCTGTTTGTTACAAATACACCCTCCCAGCTCCCACTAACCTTTCCATAGGGTCAGCAAAGAGAAGAAGGAGCTTTCTGTAAGCAGTAACACAAGAGAGCAACAGCTTTTCCTGCACCAACCTCAGTCCCTGGAGAGCGTGGCCTCATACCATGGCTTCCCTGCTGCCCAGGCACAACCCAGGGGACCCAGCCCACAGCCGGGCTGGCACCGCAGCGGGGAGCACGATGGCATTGCCTTATGGCACCCCATCCCCAGAAGCACATCCCGGCCGTACCTGCCTGGCAGTGAAGGCTGAGCCCCACGGAGAGAAGAGCACTGGGCTGGATGGGGAGAGGCTCTGGGGAGCTGAGTACCCACACCAGGGGCTTTTTAAGCTTGTCACTGAGCATCGCCCTCAGCTGTGGTGAGTGTGGTGGGCAGCAGGCAAGGGCCCAGGCTGAGCATGGCGGGGCAGGGGCAGGGACAGGGGCACAGCCATGGCCGTGGCCGTGGACACGGCAGCACTTTGGCCGAGAGCTGAAGGGTACATTTCTGCAGGTGGTTACCTCTCCAAGGCCATGTATTATCCAGGAAACAGTATGTGTTTATGCAGGACACAGGGAGATCTGGAGCCTAAAATGCACATTGGGAACCTACTCCATGGAAAAAGCGGTTCTCAGGGATTTGCCCCTGTTTCTGCCCGCTGGTGCCATCCCCGTCCAGCCCACACCTCCAGCTCCCTGCAGCAGCTGTGCAACCCAGGGCTTTATAAACTCGAACCCACTTTGCCAGCACACGTGGCCCCTTGCAAATGCTGGATCCCCCAGCCCAGCAGCTGTTGCGGTGCCGATCCCCCCGTCGAGGGGGTCTCGCGAGGAGCCGACGGGAAGTTTCTCTTGAGAAAAAGCACTTCTGGCCCCGTGTGCTCCCAACAGCTGCCCTGGCCCACGGGGCACCGCCGGGGCATCCTGCCCGCGCACGCTCGTGCCGAGGAGCTGCTCAAAGATCAGCTGCTAAACCCAGCCTTTTCTGTCCCTGCTTGGAGGAAATACCATTGTTTCTAGTTTCACGTGGAAAGGGCAGTTCTCGGCCCCAGCTGCCGCCCACGTGTTCCTTTCCCACCCAAAATAATCGCTCCTGCTGCAGCCAGCACTGCCGAGTCTGTGCCCGCTCCCACCCGAATCCCCGTGAGCAGGATCAGAGCCGGCAGTGGCGGGGTCGGAGCCCATGCAGGGTCCCTGCGCCGCCCCGGCACCCACCGCTCCTCCTCTGCCTGCAATTGCCAACAAGGTGAGCGTTCAGCTTTGGGGACCACAAAGGATGAACGCCGGCCCGAGGACAGAAGTGGTGGTGTTTGCTTAATTTCTTCTTTTTCCGAAGGAACAGGTCCCTACCGGGGCACTTTCCACAGACAGCTGACCAAACGCCCAACATAGTTTCAAGTGTATTTATGTTCTCTCTGCCTCTTAAGTGCATCTTCAAAGGATGTTTTGCATCGAAATAGAATTTTCTGGGTGTTTGCAGTGACAAATTCAGTGTGACCTAGGCTTCAAACAGCCACTTGAAAATTGCAAGTAAATGTAGCTGGATCTCAAAGCTCTTAAGAGAAAAAAATATTTAATAAATATTCTTTAAGAGGCATTCAAATAATAAAGAATATCAGCCAAGCCAGACATCCTACCTAATTTAGTCTCCAGAGCAGGATCTGCTAATAGATCAGGGTAGGATTTGTGAATTACCATTTCACTTCTCCAGGGACTTTTCCTGAAATTATAATGGCTTTTTCTCCTCTTTTTTCATGAAACTGCCATGAAATAGTTCCCTGTTATTAAGTATGAAACCTACCTAATTAGCACAATGACAGTTTTTAATGAGGCCCTGGCTGTGTTCTGCATCTTTGATAGGAATGGTTAATACCAAACACAGGACAACAATTATAGAAACACGTTCCCCCATGAACTTGCCCCGTGGAAGGCAGCAATGGCAAATGACGCTTGGGCATTCAGATTTATTAGAAATCTCTGTTCTTGGGGTATGTTAAGCCCAGACGGGATCAAGTGCACTGGAGTTAATTTGATGCCAATAACGTTCAAACACCAGGGAATAATAACCTGGCACGAGGGGAGCTGCTGTTCGCTGTGCACCTGGTATTTGCAGCCAAGGGGAGGAGGTTGCTGCTGGACACCAGCTCTGCCTGTGCTGCACGCCTCCTGCGAGAGGCTGGAACCCTCCCTCCACGGCGGGCGGGCAGAAGGAACGGGCAGGTCGGAGGAGGAAGGTGTTAGGAGCTGTTGGTACTTGCAGGATTCCCGTTCTGCAGGGGGTGGCCGGGCTCCTGCTCGGCCAAGGGGCTGGATGAGCAGCACAGCCCGGCCCCTTCCGAAGCCCACGTCACGCAGCACCGCGTCTCTGCCACTGCTGAGCGGATCCAGCACCACTGAAATGGTGCTGGATCTGGCCCATATGGCTTAATGTATAGAGGGGATTTGGCTCTTAACGTTAATAGAGTGCTTTTCCAGGAGCTGCCCCTCACTCTGCCTCTCTGGCCTTTCCCTTCCCCGCCAGCACCGATGCTAACACCCCGCTCTTCCAGCCAGATGGCCTCCAGAAGGCTCACAAATGTGCCTGTAATTAAAAAGCCTTTATTTTCAAAACCATTTCACAGCTTACTCTTCTGACAATGGGGTGGGGCTTCTTAGGCTAATGCTGGGCAAGAGGAAAGGAAAATACAGGCTGGCTGCTGCCCGTCCTGTTTTCCTTTCCCATTGACACAGGTTATATTTACTATTTACCCGCTGAAGCTGAGGAACCCACGCGCCCTGCAAATCTGCACCATTGCTGAAGCCTCCCCAGGGCCAGCGCTCCTCTTCCCTAACGATACTCGGCTCTGTCCCCGTTAACCATCCGTGCTGATGTGCCTAACTAACCTGAAACGCTTTCTGACTGGAGACTGAGCAAATTTAACAATTTCCCCTCAATTCCCCTCATTCCCTTTTCCGGCAGGAAAGAAACCAATTGCCACATCCTCGCTGAAACAAGATCCATTTTATTCAAAGTCCAGCACTGTGTTATTCACTCCAGCACATTCCCAATCACCTTCATCGTATTATTAATCAGCAGCAGAATCTCTTCTACTAATTTGAGCAGCGTTTCTAAAAACCGGACCACG